AGCTCAGTGTATTAAAGTGCCTGCAAGCAGGTGCAGGGGCCAGGGGTTCCATCCCTGGCTTGCCATGCCGGCCCAGTCCCTGGGGTGCACTGAGATAGTAATTGAGACTGGGTGTGGTGGCATAATCCCAGCACTTGGGAGGCTGTAAACAGGTGGATCACTATGAGTCCAATCTAGTAGTGAGACCCTGAACACCCTGTAGACCCTTCCCTAAAATAAAAAAATAAAAAGTATTGACCCTTGATGGGGTTGGGGAAGAGGAAATAATATACTCAAGATGCAATGTATTGGGAGCTTTGTAGGGCCCATGAGATGTGCACATGGCTCAGTGAGCTGACACTCACAGTGACTTGGCCTCCCCTGAGATAATATAGACAACTCTCATGTAACCACCAAGGGATGATGTTTGGTTTAAAATTAGATGCTCATCCTGTTCTAGACCATATCCTCCCCTTAAAATTCTCTGTAAACAACTTCTTATGCTAATTGTGTGAGTAAATATGCTGCAGTATCAGGCAATCCTTTTTCATCTGGAGAAGGGCTTCACTTGAAATCAGCCTTCTGCTCATTGTGCAAAGAAATGCACTGCAGTTGCTGGGCAGTTGAGGGGCACATTGGGGAAATAAGTCACGTAACCAGGGTGCATGGAAAGAACAAAGACTTTTGCTAGAAAATGATGAACCCAGTGGTCTCGGTCACTTGGGACTAATGTCTGTCTATCTAGGTTTCATTAGGCTTGGTGCTTGTCCTACAAGGGAGTATACAGGCCTGGTCATCTTGTTTTATCTTGGGCCTGGCCTCCTACAAATGTGGCTCTGGCCACAGTTGAGATGTGTTTAACCCTTGGCCGGCTCACTCAAGAGGCCTAGCTCTATCTGACTACCTACAATATTTCTGCCCGACTTAGCTGTCTAAAACGGCATGATGTCTAACGCTATCAGGAAGCTACTTAGAAGAGGAATTGTTGGGTTAAATGGAATTTCTACTTTTTATGAAGCTCTACACTGATTTCCATAGTTCTTGGACTAATTTATACCCCAACCACAGTGCAGGAGGGTGGTTTTTTCCCTGCAGCCTCACCAGCATCTGTTATTAGTTGATTTCTTGAAGATGGCCACTCTTTCTGGAGTAAGATGGAACCTCCGGGTTGTTTTAATTTCTGTTTTTTGATGGTCAGAGGTGCTGAATACTTTTTCATACATTTATTGGCTCTTTATACTTTTCTGAGAAGGGTCTATCCATTTCATTTGCACATTGTTCAATTGGCTTTTTTCTTTTGAGGGGGTCTGATTTTTTTTAGGTCTTTATATATTCTGAATTTATTTATACATTCTTTATGTATTATTCCTCTGTCTGAGAGATAGTTGAAAAAATATTTTTCCTATTCTGCAGTTTGTGTCTTCCTGCCACTGGTTCTTTCCTTTGCTGTGCAGAGGCTTAAAAAAAAATTTTTTTTTTTTTGAGACAATGTCTTTCTGTGTAGTTCAGGCTAACTTCAGATTTACTATGTAACCCAAGGTAGCCTTGGATTTGCTGTGATTCTTTTTTTTTTTTTTGGTGGCCTGAGGTTGCCTTCAGCGCAGGTCTGGTTCAGTTTGAGTGTCTGGGTTTTGAACCACAGCACCCTGAGGCTGACTGCTTTGTTTAAGAAGGCACTTAAACAACTGAGCTAATGGGCAGGCCCCCTACAGTGATTCTTCTACCTTAGCCTCCCAGGTACTGGGATTACAGGCATGCGCCACCATGCCCAGCTGAAAGCTTTTAATCTGATATAATCCCATTTGTTGATTCTTGATGTACTTTCCTGTGTAATTGGGGTTTGTTGGGTTTTGTTATTGTTCTTACTTGTGCCTATGTCTTTAGGAGTTTTATCTAAATTATCTTCCAGCAGATTCTGTTTTAATATTTAGGTATTTGATCTGTTTTTATTTTATTTTATTACATGGTGATAGTTACGGGTCTACATTCAGTTTTCTGCATGGTGTAACTAATTTTTCTCAGCACCATTTGTTAAAGAGGCCATGTTTTTGCCAATGTGTGCTTTTGGCTCCTTTGTCAAAGATCAGATGACTTAATTGTTTCTGCATCTTCTTCTATGTTCCATTGATCCATATATTTATTTTGTGCCAGTACCAAGATGTATTTGTTATTTAATATGGCTTTTATGTAACTTGAAATCTCGGATTGTTGTGTGTCTTGCTTTGCTCCTGTTGCCTACGGTTGTTTTACTATCCTGAGAGAGTCTCTTCTGGCTCCATATTGATTTTAGGGCTGTTGTCTCTAGTACTGTGAGGAATGCTGCTGGTATTTTGATTAGGAGGGCATTAAATCTATATATCAGTATTTTTAGTGTGGCCATCTTGACAACATTGTTTCTGCCTATCCTGCCTGTCCTGGAAAAGGAGATAATTTTCCAGTTTTCTTTCTCTGTTGTTTTCTTTGATCTTCTTTTTCCCAGTACTGTAGCTTTTACTATAGAGGTCTTTAGGTTCTTGGTTAGATTACTTCTTAAGCATTTAAATTTTCTTGATGGCATTGTTATTCTAATTTCATTCTCATTGGTTTTATTATTGGTGCACAGGAATGTTATTACTTTTTGTGTGTTGATTTTTTCTATCCTGCTATGTTG